TTGTACCATCAGAGCTGGTTTGGGTTTAAAATGCCCCATTGGCTAGTTCTTTGCGCGCCATCCTTTCTTCCATCTCCCTCCCTCCCTCTTCTTCCTGCTGCCTTTAGTGTCGTCTGTTAGTGGTAAACCCTCTCATCTTGTCTGAGAAAGTATTTTTCCTTTACTCTTGGAAATATGTTAGATGGGTACAGAATTCAAGATGAGCGTTATTTTCAGTCAGCACTTTGAAGATGTTTGGTGTCTTCTCATGTCTGATGTTGCTTTGGGGATGTCCAATATCTGCTCAATTTCTGTTCCTCTGTGCTGCGTTTCCACCCGTTGTTGCTTTTAAGACTGTCTTTTGTCTTTGATACACCATTCTGCAGTTTAAGTGGGGGTTCAGTCTTATTGATCCCGTTCAGGATGTGGTTCTGGGATCAGAGGGTTCATGTGTTTTATCAGTTCTAGATCCTCTCAGCCACCTTCTCTTCAGATATGGTCCCTCTTCCCGTCTCTCACCTGTCTTCTTCCAGAACTCCCCTCACACACATGCAGGGCTTTCCTATTCCCTTCTCCGTGTGTCTTTTAACTTCTCCTGTTTTCTATGTCTTTATCTTCTGATGCTAATTTCTTAGTATTATCTTCAGATCTATCATCTAGTTCATGATTTTTTTCTTTTTTCCTTTTTTGTCTTTTTTACTGACCGGCAACGGGATCGCAACCCTCGGTGTCGCGCCCACACTGCGCTCAGCCAGTGAGCAGGAACCGGTCTCCACATGGGATCCGAACCCTCGGCGGGAGCGCTGCCACACTCCCAAGCAGCACACTCGCCAGTGCGTCACCGGGCCGGCCCATGATTTTTTTCTTCAACAGTTACTTAATATTTCCACTGAGTTTTTAATTTGAATTGCTACATTTTTTGCTTAAAAGTGAATTTTTTTTTTCAAATTAGCTTCTTGTTCTTTTGTCAGAGTGTCTTGCTCTTTTTCTTCTTGTGTCATCTTCTCTCGTGTCATCAATATTTTTAAAAATCTTATTTTATAGCTTGGACTACAGGTATTTGTTGAATGAATGAATCAATAATTAGTTTCTTTCTGATTAGTTGTTATATCTGAAGTTCTCAGGAGTTGAAGCTGCTGTTTGTTATGCCTGTTGATTCCCTTTGAGTGGGAATATTTCCTTGTGTGTAGTTTGTAATTTTGTATTGTGAGCTCATCTTTGTCAGGGAATTCTCTGCAGCCTGGCCTCAAAGTATATCCCTCCAGAAAGTCTTTTTTTTTTTTTTTTCCTTTTTTGTCTTTTTTCGTGACTGGTAACGGGATCGCAACCCTCGGTGTTGTGCCCGTACTGCGACCGGCAACGGGATCACAACCCTCGGTGTCGCGCCGCACCACGCTCAACCAGTGAGCGGACCGGTCTCTATATGGGATCCGAACCCTCGGCGGGAGCGCCGCCGCACTCCCAAGCGCCGCACTCTACCTAGTGCGCCACCGGGCCAGCCCTTTTGTTTGTTTTTAATATCTAGTTCTCCCAGGGGTCTCACTGGTCTGAGAGTTCCGAACTCCTAGACCATTTCAGTAGCAATTAACAGTGAAGCACAGGCCAAATTTACACATGATTTCTAGGGAGACATTCTTCTTTTATCCACGCTTAGGCCAAGAGAGATAGGCTTCCCTGTTTTCTTCCTGTGCCAGTAGGAGGATATTTTCCTAGCCCACCTTTTTACTAAGGGTACGGCCCTTTGAGGGTTCTGTAAGGCGTTTTGGTTCTAACTCTCCACCTTTCATAAACAGAGGCCTTCATCATTGCGCTCTGTGTACGTCTTAAAGCCCATGTCATTATTTTGCCCAGATAGGCATCTCCTACTCCCCAACCAGAGCAGCTGCAGAATCAGCTCACATGCTTCTGGTTTTCAGTTCTCTTTTCATTTCTGACCCATAGGGATTTCCCTTACTATCTTGCAAGTTCAACAAAAATGAGTTTTTAATATTTCTTACTAAGTTGTTTAATGGAGGAGGGGTTTAGATTATTGTAGTTCATCAGATTGTTGGGAACAGATGTCTTCCTCCTCGGTTTCTTACCCAAAGGAGTGCCAGCCCTTTTCAGCCTTGTGGAGTTCATTTTATGGTGGAAAGTGATGGGGGTGTGGTGAGGGCATTTGATCTTGCCAAAGTGTTCCATAGACTCTCAAAAAATGGAGGACCATTGACCTAGAAAGACCTCGAATTGGTACGGCCCCTCAGTCAGTTAATCTGTGCATTCCTTGAGGTTAGAAATAACCTATTAGGATAAGATGTTTACTACTATTTGTTAAAAACTTTATAGCAAACATTTTCTTAAAACAATAATGATAGGGCACATGAGATTGAGAAAACATCAAGGGCTTCATCAACACAAAATATGAGTACTGACCTAACCATGGATTAAGATTTATAACGGCCCAATGCTTGGCATTCTGTTTTCTGCAGACTGTTTCTGGGGTCAGACATTATCACCAGCAGCACTCCCACTAAAGAGCAGCCCAAGTCCACTGCCAGTGGGAGCTCTGGTGAGAGCATGGACTCCGTCAGCGTGTCGTCCTGTGAGTCGAACCATTCAGAGGCTGACGAGGGCTCCATTACTCCCATGGACACACCTGATGAGCCTCAAAAAAAGGTATATACCTGACCCTTTTCATAATTCCTGATACAAGCACCTGACATGGTATTTGCCACACAAGGAATGTTTGTTTTCAAGATTGTCACTTTACTGTATTTTGAAGGTCAGGTATTTAAGAGGTGTCAACAGCAGAGTTCAATCTGAGGACCCATTCCTTATAGAAACAGGCATAAAAGCGGTAAGTAGATTGGTTTACTTATTTGTCCTTTGAAGTATTGTTCTATACCTACATCTAAGGCACTGAAGGATTGTGACCTGTAACAGGAGCTATACTTCATTTAGGAAAAGTGGGATTGCTTAGAAGGAGCAGGAAGTCAGAAACAGAGATGCATCAGCTTCTTGGTGCTACACGTTGTCAAAAGCAAACCACTACAAAACTCAGTGACTTAAAGTAGCCACCATTTATCTTCTCTCATGCATCTGCAGGTTGTCTGATTTGGTTTGGGCTTGGGACTTTGGCCACAGGTTTGGTCCAGGTCTGCCACAACTCCCTGTCATTTTTTTGGAGTAATGGGCTACCCAGGGCATGCTGTTAGCATGCTAAGACAGCTGTTGGCTAAAGCAATCCCATGACCAGATCCCCCATAGGGAAATACACTCCAGTTTTAGTGGAAGGAACTGTGAAATCACAGAGCAAAAGGCACGGGTGCAGGGGAGGGTGAGGAATTTCTAACAATGATACAATCTACCATGTCTGAAAAAAGGAAAGTGATGAGGGGTGATAAAAGAATTCTCATGGAGAGTTTCCATTTTCCATGGCTGCATAAATAAATGAAAGGAAAGCAAAATATCAGTCTAAATCTGCTGGTCGAGGATTTTGGATCAGAGACATCAACTTTGACAAGACTAAAATTTGCACCATTTGGGGGAGGTTGTTGGCCAGCCAGACTTGCTCTGTAGCGACTTCTGGCCCCTTAGTTTATGCTGAGGCAAATGAGGAAGAGTGTTGGTAACAGTTCCATCGTTTGTTTCTGTTGCTCTGCAGGGGACCTGTGTGTTGCTTCACATGGTCTTATAAGCAACAAGGACAATCTAGGAACCCTCAAGTGACTTTGTCACAAAGTAGCCAATCCAGGAAGGGCACCATATTCAGGACTCCTCAGACTGAGAGGACTCACATACTGCCCCAGTTGGATTTCTTACCTTTTTGTTTTGAAACCGGGGGATAGAATTTTTCATGCTCCAAACATTGAAGGAAAAGCTCTGCAAACGCCTGTGGACTGGTCATTTTCTCAAAAGGCATGTTTCCAAAAGTGGGAATGTGATCGTTCTCCACGGCTTGACGTGTAGCATTGGATTTGTCAAAATGCAGAGTGAAGTCTCATCATTCCTCACTGACGGGTTCTTAGGCTTTGTAGGCCCCATTTCTTTTTTTTGTCTTTTTGTCTTTTTTCTGTGTCCGGCAACGGATCGCAACCCTCAGTGTTGCCCCCGTACCGGACCGGGGACCGGCAACGGGATCGCAAGCCTCGGTGTTGCTCCCGCGCCTCGCTCAGCCAGTGAGCGGGAGCCGGTCTGTATGTGGGATCCGAACCCTCGGACGGGAGCGCCGCCGCGCTTCCCAAGCGGCGCACTACCCAGTGCGCCACCGGGCCGGCCCCTGTAGGCCCCATTTCTGATGATGGGTATTGAACGAAAGTGACGGCTGAGGTATTGCCCACATCTCTGTGGGATGTCTGCCTGTCCGGGAAGGTGACAGAATCATGTTCACACCTGATGATGACAGGGCAGTGGAAGTGGGCATAGGTCTGGATCATCCCTTTTCAAACTGTGCAGAAGCCCTGCGTGCTGTCATCTGCATGCCCCTCGCTTCATCTTTTCTGTGCCATCTCTTACCACAGTGGCTCTTTAATTTCTTGCACAAGTCATGGCTTTTTATACTGTGGATAAACCTTTCTCAGAGTCATACATTTCTATAAATTTAAAAATGAGTGCATTTTTGACTCGGATACAAGTAGTTCCTGGGCTGTAGAGTCTCTGCATGTTAACTGGAAAGGCCCTTAGTTGTGCTCAGTTCACAGCTGGACCGACCTCATGGCCTCTGCAGTCCCCTCCTTCTCTGAGATCCTGTAATGACCACTGTCTCCAGCAGGCCCCCAGACTGTCACCCTTCCTTTCCTACAGACCACACTGTGAGGTGCTCTTTTTTTTTTTTTTTTTTTTTTGACCGGTAAGGGGATCGCAACCCTTGACTTGGTGTTGTCAGCACCACGCTCAGCCAGCGAGCAAACCGGCCATCCCTATAAAGGATCCGAACCCATGGTGTTGGCGCTATCAGCACTGCAAGAGCGTGCTCTTTTTTTAAAAGCGAAGTGTATTTTTCATTCATTCCTCCAATCATGACTTGTAATCATTCATTTTAACACTTGCTTCTCAGTAATCAGGTGGGCTGTTTAGAGCTGCTGTTATAATCCAGGCATCCTCAAGCCTTTATATCAATTATAAATGTCATTAAACTCATGGAAAACCTAACAAAGGAAAAGGGGTTTATATAGAGGAAAATGAAGGTGAAAAAAATGAGTCATGGGCCGGCCCGGTGGCACACTGGATAGTGCGCCACTTGGGAAGCGCGGCGGCGCTCCCGCCCGAGGGTTCGGATCCCACATACGGACCGGTTCCCGCTCACTGGCTGAGCGAGGCGCGGGGGCAACACCGAGGGTTGCGATCCCGTTGCCGGTCCTGGTCCGGTACGGGCGCGACACTGAGAGTTGCGATCCGTTGCCAGACACGGAAAAAGACAAAAGACAAAAAAAAAAAAAAAAAAAGAGTAATAATTAGAAAATGGATCCTCTTGGCTAATACACTTGCTAGCAAAGTCTTGTTATTAAAATTATCCACCATCAGCCCTCAAGTTGAGCCACTATGTTGATTCACTTGGAAATATAAGAAAACAAAAAACAAAAAAATGTTAAGTAGGCCATATTACGACAAAGCTGCTGTTAGACTCCTATTTACCAGAATTGTCATATCAGTTTGCTGGCTCTAATTAAACTCACCATGTAGCAGAATTTAATGTGTAGTTATGCCCTAGGAAGAAGTCCACAGGAAGTAAGATAAAGTAGACTCTATTTTACTTAGAAGCCAGATAATCAGGAAGCTAAACTTCTGTACTCTGTTTCCATGGAAGGGCAGACAGATATGAAAGAAATCAATGTTATTTATTTTTTAAATGACTTCCAGAATATTTTATAGGATTAATATGGTATAATTTAGCTTAACTCATCCCAAGAAGTTATTTGTAATTTTACACAGTAATAATTGATGTTTAAAATAATTCAGTTTAATGACTTTTGGGGGGATACCGCTTAGTGAGTTTTAAGCATCCTCTGTCGTTTGTAATCGCTATTGCATGTACAATAAATGTATAGTTAATCAGAAAATCACGTTAACTGTAGCACCTCATGTCAGTTAATTGTTCTTGATATACAACACACTAATGTGGATAGTTGGTTCTATACAACACACTAATGTGGATAGTTGGTTCTTAGAGCAAATAAGGAAAGTAGAGCCACTCAAAGGTTGTGTTCCCTTGGATGAGTCCCTTCTTTCTCTGAACCTCATCCTCTTATCTTTATTATGCTCTGCTGTTTGTTCACGAGACAGTGTGAGATCAAAATGAGATAAGATGCATGAAAGCTCCCCACGAACCTCCCAGAGCTAAATGTACCGTGGTAATACCATATTACGCTAATTCACCATGTTATCAACAGCAGACTGAGCGTGGGCCACGCACTTGCTCTGTGCACACAGTGGGAGGGTCAGGGAGCTTGGGGGCTCGTTCTGGTGGTGCTGTCAGCTAGCTGCATGAGCCTGGAGCCCTAGTTTTGTCTCTGGGTGTCAGGTTCCTCAGCAGTAAAAAGGACATGGGGCCAGGTGATCTCCAAGGGCCTTTCCAGCACTCATGTTCCACGCAGAGCTGTATAATCCATGATCCTTATCTTTGAAACTTCTAAAAACACAGACATTTTTCTCCTACTGAAAGGTCTGATTATGAAGTGGGGTCAGGATAGAATTATCTTGGAGGACACATTGATCATGTTGGCTCAAGGTGCTGGAGCCCAGTAAACTGGTACAGCTCTCCAGCCCTGAAAGCTTGACTTCCTTTAGGAGCCCAGATTGCTTCCAGTTTCTGGTATCTGCTGCCATCTGCTGCTTAACTTCCATTAGAACAGCTAAAAACTAGGGAAGTGAAGGAACCACCTTGCATCTCCTGTTGGGTGGTGGTTGTGGGGTGTGTGTGCTTATACCAGGGACAAGATATGTGCATACTGTGGGCCATTGTGAAGGATGTAACTCAAGTTGCTCAGCCTGGATATCCACCTCTGCTTTGACAATTGCGAAGCACCCTGCTGGCCAAGGTTCTAATAATTCCTTTTTCTTCTGGGGTGTGTTTCCTCTTCCAGCTCTCTGAGTCCTCTTCATCGTGTTCCTCTGTCCACTCCATGGACACAAATTCCTCAGGGATTTCGTCCTTAGTCAACCCCCTCTCCTCCCCTCCATCCTGCAACAACAACCCTAAAATCCACAAGCGCTCTGTCTCTGTGACGTCCATTACCTCGACAGTGCTGCCTCCTGTTTACAACCAGCAGAACGAGGACACCTGCATCATCCGCATCAGCGTGGAGGACAACAACGGCAACATGTACAAGAGCATCATGGTGAGGGGCGCGTCCTGCCCGGGGGGGGACAGCCTTTCCATGCAGGCTGTCGACCTGTGCCTGTCAGCCACGCAGACTGACGCCCTGGATGTGTGCAGTAGTAGCATATATGTCTGTGCATTTGCACAAAAGGAATACGTATAAATACCAAAATCTCCCTGGGTATATATTAACGATGTATTTATATACCGACAGTGCATATAAGATATCATTTTTACATCTTAAAAATTGCTATAACATATTTATCCAGGTCAGTGTCACCCTTTTCGAAATTACCAATGTGGGTGACTGTATAAATGTAGTCCAGGGAAGATGCCCCTGCTCCATGTCTTCTTGGGAGTCTTTCTGTGCAACTATATGTCTGGGTTTTTAATTGAATTTCCATGGATGCTAGCAGTGTGCTCGCTGATGGCACATGTGTGCCGTTTAGTCACTTGGATCAGACCTAGGTTACGAAGTGGATGATCAAGCTGGAGATACGTGTACAGTTTGGGTCAATAAGGAGTTACGCTTATAAATAATCGAGGTTGTCCTTTTCAAGCTTCTTGTAAAAACTGCATGTTTCTAAGGACAATCCCAAAGATGTTTTTAATAATGGCAGTCTTTTTGGAATGCATGCAGAGCCTCTCACGATAACCTTGAGTGTGTCAGGGCTGGTATGTTTATT